ATGTGCCTCATATTTTTGATACTATTACATTTTAAATAAATATTACAAAATTGTGTGTAACTACTTATATGTAAGAGAGATATATCATATGAATTATTGATCACTGTATCTCAAATATGGCAATGCTCATGCAGCTGAAATTATGAATGATAAAACAGCCACGGGCGGATCTATGTGGGGAGGGGGCTTTCGGGCTGAAGTCCTCCTCTCCCCCCAAAATGGTAAAATATAGCCATGTTTTATCGTAAAAAATATTAAAAAAGTATCTCTTAAAGTATTATTGTTTGTGTAATTACATTTAGAAGGTCTTTAGGAATCACTTAAACACCATTTCTTACAGGTAGTTAGTTTCTTTCTTTTTTTCCAAAGTAATTATCGTTATTTTTATGAAAAAAACAACTTTCGGGCTGAAACCCCCAAAAAATAAATCCTCGATCCGCTAGTGGTTGGAGGACAGCAGCACTTGACAGAAACAACTGGTGGTCGACTCTGCAGCAGGTCAAGACTCGACTTCAAGGGGCGTAGTGCTGTATAAAAAAATAATAATAAATTATCATTACAATTAATATTAGTGTTGGGAGTGGAGTAGCTCAGTGGTAGGGCGCTGACATCCAATGCTCAAGGTCCTAAGTTCGAATCATGCTAGTGGCAGAGACGTTATTTATTCTGTTTTGTTGGCTGAGCATCGACACTAGGGTAGAGAGAACCTCCTAGGGCACACACAGCCTATTTAAAGTAGGTCGTTGACCAAGAAACAGTACTTCCTTATAAAATAATGAACCCAAGACCCTTCATGGGTTATAGTGGTATAGCTTCTAGTTCTAATATCCTAAAGACAGCATACACCAATAAATAAAAACTTTGTTATCTTAAGTGGTCCATAAAGATTAACCTTATTTAACGTGATTAACAATTAAAAAAAGTAATATAATTGGTAATTGGTTGACTGTCGTGGATAATGAAGAGAAGAATAGTTGGGGTGCTCAGTCAAAAAAGGAAGGCAAAAATAAATTATAATATTTATTTTTTACATCTGCCGACGTTTCGACCTGAAGTTCAGGCCATCATCAGGGCTTTCTCCTAAAGTGTCGAAGTGAGAATGCGGGTTCTCACTTTGACACTTTAGGAGAAAGCCCTGATGATGGCCTGAACTTCAGGTCGAAACGTCGGCAGATGTAAAAAATAAATATTATAATTTATTTTTGCCTTCCTTTTTTGACTGAGCACCCCAACTATTCTTCTCTTCATTAATTAAAAAAATTATTCAGTCGATAAGATGAGTTTATACAACATAATATGCTATTTTGTATTTACAGACTAAGTCAGGGGTGCCCCTCCCCCCAAGGTCGAAGCCACAAGAACTTACCCCACTCCCAAGATCACGGGCGGATCTACAGGGGGGGGGGGGGAGCTATCGGGCTGAAGCCCCCCCAAAATGCTAAAATATAACCTTGTTTTATCGAAAAAAAATATTTAAAAAGTATCTCTTAAAGTATTATTGTTCATGCAATTACATTTAAAAGGGCTTTAGGAACCACTTAAACACCATTTCATATAGGTAGTTAGCTTCTTTCTTTTTTTCCAAAGTAATTATCGTTATTTTTATGAAAAAAAGGACTTTCGGGCTGAAGCCCCCCAAAATTAAATCCTGGATCCGCTAGTGCCCAAGATATTTTATAGCTCATATTTTCTTAAAAACCGCAAGCAAAGGTAGAATTAGAAAAATCGTAGATTATACACAATTACACTTACTTTGTTCTGTTCCATGTTTTCTGCTTGTCCCTTAATATGAAACTTTTCATTCCGAAAATTCATAACCCTGTCAAAATATGCCCCCCTCAAAAATTTTGATGGAGCAACTTACGCCATGAAACGCGCTTCTGGGTCCCCTGGACTAAGGTACCAAATGACGTTGATATTATTGTTGTCTTTAACTTCTCACAAGTTGAAATAATTCTACTTTAACTCTTTGGCATTAATCCCTCGCCCTCATCCCTGGCTAGAGAAAACTCCGCACAGGCTAAAAGGCTAGGAAGGGTAGGACAAATAAATCCCACTTGCTATCACACAGAAAGTCGTGATGGCCGAGAGAGTTAAAATGCAGGCTTTTGCATTCTTGAGCCCAACGACACCAGTTCGAATCCCGTCTGTTGAAATTTATTTCGTGGGACACCCATGAAACGAATCTGGACCTCTCAACTCTGATTAGATAGAATAGGTTAGATTGTACCTCTAGAATAACCTCCCCGTATGCCTAAAATAGCATTAATTGGTAGTTGATAAAACAACAAACAATTATCATGATTGTGAATAGCTTTATTTACGCTAATTAAATTATCTAATTTAATTAATTAATTTTAATCTGACGGTAGATCTCTACAGTTAACAATATCATTTAAAGAAATTATGGTTCGGTTTTAGATTTTGTTTATCTAACGAAATCAAAGAACGAATTATCATCATTCAAATATAATTTAAGTATTAAGTTATCATTATGGCTATAGTCTATCCACAGGTGGATCTATGGGAGGAGGGGAAGAGCTTTTGGGCTGAAGCCCTCCTTCCAAAATGATACAATATAACCATGTTTTATGAAAAAATTTATCTTTAAAAGTATTATTGTTCATCTAATTACATTTAATATGACTTCAAGAATCACTTAAACACCATTTCATGAAGATAGTTAGTTTCATTCGTTCTGCCGAAGTAATTATACTAATATATACATACAAAAAAAAGCTTTCGAGCTGAAGCCCACCCTCCAAAATTAAATTCTGGATCCGTTAAAGTCCACTACTATTTTCTTTTGCTGAGATAGTTAGTTAGATAGTAGTATAAACTGCCTATACTAGGTAAGGAAAGTATTGCAATTGTGTCAAATTTCTGATATGCGGTTTTCGACGGAGCTATACATTTCAGAGGCCCCCGAGTCTCAAAAGCACATTTTTAGCCATTGGTCTGTCTGTGCCAAGATTTTCTCGGAAACTACTTTTTTTATTTTGTAGGGCTTTGACTACTGCCTGTGACAGAAATTAGGTGCTCCATGCTCAATAGCTTGCACGCAATAAATGAAAAACATGTTTTTCTATAGACTGTAGCGCAAAAATAGTTCTAATAGTTTTCCTTTCAATTTTTGTATATGGATTAAATTCCCGAGAAAATACAGGAGAAAAAGTTATAAAGAAAAGAAAAATGTTATGGGGCCTAACTCCCTAAGTATATATTATAGGGTAAAATTCATAATAAAACTTTTGAAAGGTAATTACATTACCAACAAAAAAAAAAAATTCATCGAAATCGATCCAGTATTAGCGATGATACAGCTTATTCTATTTTTTACACATTTTTTAACTTAATACTTTCCTACCTATACTAGGGAATTTTAGAAAGGGGTGAATGAGAGAAAAAATAAGACGATTTCGTACTTCGATGATTCTTTGAAAAAATCTTATTTGGTACAACTATTAACCAAGTTACAGCTATTCAATTTCCAATGTAAGCTTACAGGTACATATCCTGGTGTCAGAAAGGGGTGAATGAGAGAATAAAGATGACTAAGTGAAAGTAAGAAAATCTGTTGTCTGCATCACTATTTTCTCTACTTTTAACAGAAATTATTGTTTGATAATACTAAGCTATATCAAAAAGTTTTTGATCAGCAATATTAGGAAGTATTAAAATTTGTACACTGATCTACCTCAAGCCGGTTTAGATTGCTTCAGTTTATCAAATAAATCGTACTCAAATCTTATGTTTGATTAATTTTCAGAAAAATAAATATAGTTCAATTTTTTTTTGTTTCTTCCTGAACATATGCAAAGATATAAAAACTTTTCTGAAATAGGTAGAAAAGTTGTATGAGTGGACACACCATATGTTTTACTTTTTCTTTCATGAAAAAATATAATTATAAAATATACAAGGATGCAATTACAGTTTTATTATATTTTAAACTCGGTGCTATTATCAAATTATAAGACAAATACATTTCTCACATCCTTCTTTTACCAAATAGTTAAAATAATACTACCTATATGTCGTTGATGTTTCTTGTTTAAGTTTAACAACTAGGGAAATAAATGCATTTTTTTTCCTATATAAATGTATTTTCCGATGAATTATTGAAGGAAGCTAGTCGACTGTTCTACATGTATTTTCCCGTCAATATTTTTTAAAATTATTAATCTAATAATTTTTATTAGTCCTTAACATTAATCTTTTAAGATATGAGAAGGAATTAGTCGAGGGTGCGGTCAAAAAAAATAAAAAAATTAAAATATATAAATAATTTTAATTTTTGCCGACGTTTCGACCCACTTTGCAGGTCGTCTTCAGGGTAACAATAGTTATTCAATTTTCAATCAATTTATTCGTTAACATTCATTTATTCGTTAACATTCATGTATTTATTTTCTTTTATCTATTTTCTTATCATGTATTTATTTTCTTTATCTTTTATTTCTGTATCTGACAACTTCTTCGTAATTTATATATACTTATATTTATTTTTTATTTTATTTTTATATTTTCAACATGTTTATATCTTTTGTAGCCCTGAAGACGACCTGCAAAGTGGGTCGAAACGTCGGCAAAAATTAAAATTATTTATATATTTTTATTTTTTTATTTTTTTTGACCGCACCCTCGACTAATTCCTTCTCATATCATATCAACGGTCAACCATCTCTACATCATTAATCTTTTAAAATGTATCCAATATAAATGTTAATTATTATAAAGCATATGCAGGCAGCATTTTAAAATAAATAACTAAAGAATAAAGTGAAAATAAATCCTCTTTAAATATTTGTCGGGAAGTTACTAAACTATTGATAATGTTTCAATGATACTATTGAACTATCGATAGTGGAAAACTGTCGACTATCATCCATCTCGACTATATACCTTTCTCCATAATAGCTCCAATGCCTCCTGAATCCACTTATTCGACATCACAACAGCCAAAATCTCACAAATTCAAAGAAATTAAGGAAATTCTTTTCCCTTTTTTAGATGTTACTGATTTAATTCATAATTTACAGGTAATGTATCATTTAAAGAGAAGAAATAGGTCTAAATAGATCGAGATGAATTAAAGTATAAATATAAATTCATACTCTGTAGGTCATTTATATTTATATATGCATAAGCCATCGCTTCGTTCAAATTTTATATAAAATTGTATTTACTTACAAAAACTACATTAATACAAGACATTTATACAAATATTAATTATAATCAATATTTTACATAATTATATCTATAATATAAGATAAAATCAATATATAAAAAAAAATATACATATAAAACAAGATATGTACAACATGTATTTCTAAGGTTTCCACAACCGTAGTAATCCATCTTCACTATAAGTACATAATAAGTTTTGATGAGGGTGATGACAAACACCAATAACATCTTTTTCATGTACCTGAAAAATAAATTCCGATTTAGTTCTGTGAAAAATATTTATTTTGGAAAAAAAAGCCAGTATCATTAAATAAATAGACAAAGACAAAACAATTCAGTCCCTTTTCCCCCTCTTTTTCTCAACCGATTTTATTTTTTTAGTAGCTATTGACGAGCTGTAATGTTATCTATATAAAAAAATTAGTAAACAGTGTATATTAATAAAAATGTAAATGTTAATCGCTGTTTTTGAGAAAATCGTAAAATGTGTAAAATCGATTATATAAAGTGCCATTTCCAGTTAGCTGATTTTGACGAAAAAGTTACTGTAACATCCAAGTATATACAAACTTTAAATATACAATTTCACTTTCATACGACCATTCGTTTTTGAGCTAAACTGTTCACATACATACACACAGACTATTTTGCCAGACTTGGTTATTTGGACTCAGGAGACCAAAACATGTATTTCCGTTAAAAACTCAAGATTTGAAAATTTTCATGATCACAATACTTCCACTTACTATATATTTCATATATAAGTAAAATGATGAAAACAAGCCAACTCATTTATGTTTGATAATGATTATGGTTGAATTTCAACTAGTAGTTCAAATACAACCAGAAAAATTAAATTTAACATATATAATCATTTAAAAGAAAACCTATCTAATTTTCATAGATAAATTAAGTCTCAGATTTATTTTCACAAATCATTAATGATTAGAATCAATGATATTAAGTTTATAATTCTAATTCAAAATCTGGATGGTGAAATTTTAGGGTTATCTTATTCTAATATCAAATAATTTCTATAGCTTAAAGGCAACTAAAAAACATCAGAAAATCTCCATAAGTTATCAATAGTTTAACTAATATAGAATTAATAAATATCTTAACTTAAAAACAGAAAAAAAAGGAAGAAAATTAAAATTTATGATGATTATGCTTACATTTAAGGTCCTTTCTAGTTTTCCTGAAGCGACAGAAAAGCAATAAAGCACCAAATCTTCACCGACGCAGTAGATCCATTCGCCTCGAGGAGATAGCGTGGCGCAAACAAAGTCACCTCCTTCTCTTTTACCGCTGGAGAATGACCTCACAATCTATAACATTAACAAATAATTGTAAAAAACTGATTCGTAGTAATTCTTTCCACAGTTCCTATCTTTAGTGTCTTAAATTGTGTTGGAAAAAAAAAATAATGACAAGCCCAAATAGCCGGACTTGGATTAGCTGTTTAATATATTTAAAGTTTACAAAAAATGAAACAAATTATATGGAGTAAAATTTGTTACCTGTCCTTGCATATTCATGATAACAACGGTATTTGTTTTATTGCAAACAACAAAGTGTTCTTGATTTTTCGGAAGCAAATGTATACTGTTTACTCTAATATCGCCAGCACCGAGTGATTTGAAGGTATTGACACATTCAGTCGACTTGATACTCCATACTTTAACAGTTCCATCTGAGGAAGCACTGAAAAAAAAAAAAATGTTAAAAATCCAAATATCGGTATACAAAATGTGAAAACTCTTCTTTATTGCCAAGATGGTGAAAAAAAATGTTTGTTCACATCAAGAATAAAATTTAAACAAATATAAAACTGAGTTACCTGATAACATGATGACCATCACCAGTAAATACAGCATCGTTCACAAACGAGGAATGTCCACGAAATTCTTTCAAAGATTTACCAGATTTTAGACCATGTATCCTGCAGAAGAAGAGGATATGTATTATTTAATGATAAAATAGATTAAAAATAAAATTACAACTAAAGATTCAATTTTACCTAATTGTAGTATCGAAGGAAGCTGTGAGGACTTGGCTGTTGTCCCTCGAAAACTGAAGGCATGTTATCCCTTTCATATGAGCTCGTTCAAATTTTCTAAGGCACTGACCAGTCGTTATTTTCCAAACTTTAATTTTACCATCCTGGGAGCCACTAGCAAGCATTTCCGAATCTCGGCTGAAAGACAAAGCTAACACAGCTTCTTCCATCATCATGAAGTTATCCTAGAATTAAAAAAAAAATTAATCAATAGTACTGGTATCGGCTATCGAGCGTTTTGCTAATACTAGGCAGCTACCTGGAGGCTGCTGCCCCAAAATAATAAGAGTCACAGTGTCAAGATTCACTTCTCAGGAGTAATATGCATAACCATGTAGAAATAAAACCAACACTATTTCAACCCTAGTACTTTGAAACCATCACCTCTAACGAGTAAGTCGTTACAGCCTCATGAGTCAATACTACATACACATTTTTCAGCAACCGGATAACATTAACTTTGATTTATTTTAAAATAATAGAAAACGGAGCTACGGAGAATTCATAATATTTCTTAAGGTTACAAGGGAGTTGCTATACATTAATTAAAGGAAGTATGTTGAACATGTTCAAGTAGGTTCTGAATGATGTGCAATATGAAACAGAGTAAGGATTTAGTTGACTTTTTGGCTCTTTGTCCTGTATTAAGAGTTTAAGGTAAAATGGTTAGTGAAAAGTAATTTAAAAAGAGAAGAAATTAAGGCATATTTAAATGGAAGGAATTGGATTTCTCTGATCCGATATTGTAAGGAGGCTTAGATTTATAGTCCGTGGTACAGACCCCTTTTAATCAAATTATTAACATCCGCCTGAAACTTCTTGAATAACTTCATCTCATTGTAACCTACAAATATTCTATTTAAGAAAATTCTCAGAATTGGGACGTTTTCAATCTAATTAAGTACTAAAAACACGTTAATACCCATTTGCTTTCCATCTGAATCAAAAGATAATTTGATCACAAAATCGAGAAAAAAGGTGACCTTCAAAAATATTGAGCCGTTTGGCATGATCTACATCCCCAAATTGTCCAAATAACCAGGTTATATAGGACAAACGGCCCAATATTTTTGTAGGCCACCTTGTTTATTGATTTTGTGATCAAATTATCTTACGATCCAAGTAGAGTGGAGTACCTAATTAAATAGACAAAGTTGGCCTCCCCTCCAGATTGAAAACGCCACAATTCTAAGATTTTTCGTAAATAAAATAGTTGTAGGTTACGATGAGATGAAACTATTTACAAAGTTTCAGGCAGATGTTAATAATTCGATAAAAAGGGGTATGTACCACGGACTATTATATATTGAATGTTTGAAGTTTTCATGTATCTATTATATTCAAATTTTGTAATGTAATAAGTTTTTAAAAAAAATGTATGTACAATCCACCATTTTTGCTATATTAATGATTGTTAAATCTCTATAGAGGTAAAACTATTTAGCCTATTTATGAGCCCCACCCCAGACCATCTTCTTCCTTTATAATCAACTATTAAATATTAAATATTTATTTTAACATTTGATGACGTTTCGACCCGAAGGTCAGGCCTTCATCGGGGCTGATCGCTATTGATAGAATGATTCTGTCAATAGCTATCAGCCCTGATGAAGACCTGAACTTCGGGTCAAAATGTCGTCGGAAAATATTAAATAAATATTATTATTTATTTTTGACTGGTCACCCCAACTATCCTTCTCTTTATTATTCACTAAAGTCAACCATCAACCCTCAATTATGAACCTTCCTATATAGTGTGATTTATTTACTAAAAGCAATAATTTTTATTTACTCCTAGAACCAAAATATAAGAAAATTAAGTGAGGACTTGAAAGGAAAAAAATAAAAAATAATAAATAAAATAAACTGTAAAACTCACCTGAGCTTGATATTTGAGATCTTTTCTAATTTTTCCTGTTGTGAAATTCCAAACTTCAATGAACCCATCAACTGTTCCAGAAACAAGATATTGGCCATCGGGTGAAAAACACGATGTTTCAACGTGTGATTTGTGACCGAATTTAATTTGTTTTGATAATTGAGTAGGATACTTTTCGTCGTCTTGGTCCCTGATTGCAGCCTTACCACGGAACAAATCAATTGTCGTACCTAAAAATAGTGGAAAATGATTTGCTTAAATTATTTCTTATTCTCAAATACAATTATTGAGTGAAATCTAACTATTTTAACATCAAAATAGGTTTCAGTAGTCACAAAATGACAGTCAAGAAATAATTAAATTATAGAGTTGTATAACCTTAAAATTAAAATAAAGGACAAGTATAAGTAATATAATATAAATATCAGTATGTTAACATTTTATCATTGGTAAGAAATAGAGATAACTGTAAAATAAGACTTGTAACACTAAAATATAAACAATATGATTCTTACAAATATTTAGAATATTGATTGCCAAGATGGAAAAATTATTGGTGTTTAAATGAAGTTTTGAGTATGAAAGTAGCACGCATATAATAAATGATTTCATTAAGAAAGCAATACACTGGCTTGTAGGCTTGGATCTCGTTTTAAAGAATGGAAAAAGAATAAGAGCAACAAATCAAAAACGTAAAAGGTTTTTTGTTTTTTTTTGTTCATTTTTGGCTTAAAGACTTGTCGAAGCAAGTCCTATTTTGCCAATAAAATATTTTAATTGTCACTGTAAGATGAAATTAAACTGGATATTTATTGAAAAATTCTGGATATATGATTATTGAATGTAACTTATATAGAACTAGAAAGACTAATAGTTAAAAACTCATGTAATAGTATTTCCATAAGAATAAAAGTCTAGTTTTATTATATAATTGTTTTTATGTCATTAAAAAAACTTTACCACATCACGGGCTTATCTTTATTCTTTCAACTGAAGAAAGTTATCTCTATCATCCGCAGTTTGTAATCCTAAATTAATTTTTCTTCGCTTCTCAAATCTTTTGCAATTGAAGGCAATATCTCTTGGATCCTCCAAGCATTGACATGTTGGGCAGCGACCGCTCTTAGCTATACTCATTAGATGTAGATATTTGTTAGTTCTACCATGATTTGTTCTAAGCCTGGTGAGCTTCACTAAGCTGGAGTGTTCGAGATTAAATTTAATAGTCGCAACCATGGAAACAGTGCTATCTTCTGTTGAACTATATGGTGGTCCTTACCCTTCGAGGCGCTTACCCAATCTTAGAAATGCTGTCAGTCTTTCATTATTTTCTCCCTCACTATTCTTATCAAATCCAGCAATGGAACCTTAGCATTTATCCGATGCAGTTGGTTTTGATTTGCCGTTTTGCCTGCCATTTCATATCCTGATATTCTTACATGCCACCAGCATCCACAGGTTTTTGTTGTAGCAAAGATTCGAAAAATGAATACATCAAGGAAATATTACCATCAGAAAACTAGGATATAGACACTTCAACTCAGTATATCAGTACTGGATACTGTTACTTATTATTCATGCAAATTATATAACTCTTTGTAATAAAAATTAATAGAAAAACAAATACCTGGAGGTAAGAGTCCTTGATGTTGTTGCCACTTTAGTGCTTGCCCTAATAGAGCTAACAACCTCGAAGATGGTACGACCGAGACCTCACCAGATAAAGCCTGGGCTATAGCTGCTCGTCTTTTCTCTTTAGACTGTCCTTCAGCGTAGGCTTCTCGTGGATCGAAATAAGATCTGGCGAGTAAATTTTCTAGAAGAAAAAAAAAAAAAAAGAAATGTTCATAAGCATGAAGAAAATAGATGCTTATATGTATTACAGTAACACAATATACATTCAATGAGCTAAAATTAGTACTGGATCAATTCACACCATGGAAAGTTCAAATAAATTTTGTGACAAAGATCAAACAATTTTCATTTTTACAATATTACTAACATAGGTTGCTACTCAATGGAATCACTAACTAATTCACCTTATAAGTAAATTTATAAGAGAAAAAGCCAAAGGGTACAACTCTATTACACAAGTTTCACGCCAGTGATAAGTTGGAATCCACTTAAGCACACAACCAAGATATGGTAACAAAATATGGTACTCCTAAAATAGACGGTCGGGTCAAAACATCCCTTCTTATCTCGTCTAACCTAAGTTATTCCTCGTGTAAGCTGTGAGTTATTCCAATGTTTATTTTTGTTAAATTAGTGTTATATTCGTAATATTATGGATGCTGTTACATTGTTTGAATTGCCGTCATCAGAAGAAGAGGCTATCAAATATTTCCAAGACACTGGGATAATTGCAAATGTGAAATATTGTGATGAAGGTCATGAAATCAAGTGCGATGGGAAGAAGAAATGGAGATGCTTTGGTACTTGTAACAAAAACGTTTCTATAAGGAAAGGAACGTGATTAGAGGGGTCGAGAATTTCTTTTTTGTTTCTCAAGATTTTTTTATAGTCTTCATTGTGTTTTTTTTTATATGTACATATGTTGTTTGAGGGTTTTTTATTGTTTAATTGATTTTTTATATATATATGCTGTAATGTTTTTACATTATATATGTATAATGTTTGGTCTATATAATATATATGTTGTAAAATAAAAGTATTTTTTTATTATTATATTAGCTTTTGTTTACAATTTCAATAATATGAATGTAATGCAATAAATATGAATAAGAAGATATAATATTGTAAATATCATACAATAAATATGAAGATGAAGACAGGAATTATGAGTGCCTTATCAGAATTATCTGTGTTAAGGTTATAAACATTGGCAGATAGTAGTCGGACCCGACCAGCTGTTTAAGGAGTACCCAAAATACTAAGTATACGGTACAGGATTTTTTTCTTATTTCAGTTCTTAAATACTTACTCAAAGTAAATAAATTTATGATAATTATAAAAGTTTACCAAGATTTATATAACGATCCGGTTCCTGTTGCTTCATAACTATCATAGGATCAGTCTGTCGGAGCAGAGACCTTGCTGCTCCTAATTCACGAAGTTCAATTAATTCTAATACAACCTAAAAATAAAAGCAGATAGATAATATATTTAAAAAATAAATGATTAAGAGTTATATTATTACCATTTTGCAAAAATTTCATAAGTTAATCATTATTATATCAATTATACTTTTTCTTATAAAATTTAGCTTTCTTAGACTAACAAACAGTGTGAATTTCTTAGTCTCCCTACTACAGTTTGAAAGTTAGATTGATTTAGCTTTTTAAGAAGAAAGCTATTTGTGTACAATAATTTGAAAAACAAAATTGTAATTTCCAGTTTGAATGGCAAATAAATATATATATATAATGGCATTGGATGACACAGCAATTAACCTACAAGATTTGTCAAGGAATTCATATAAAAGCTTAAAAAAGTGATTTGACACTTCATGAGATAATTCAATATTGTTCCTTCCACGGTACTCCCCTGAGATAAGATTCACTAGCACTGCATCTGTTATCACTTTTCAAAGACTCTGTGGAAATCCTATTTTAAAATATTAACATAAAATTCAATTGCTGTGACAGCATGCCTCCTTATTCACCTAAATTAGCAATATATGATTTCTTCTTGTTTCCTAAATACAAGATGGTGCTCCAGAGATTGCATTTGAAAACATAGAGGATGGGTACTAGTTCACAAGAGTTCCGCACGGATTACGTATGGTTCACAATCACTTCGGTCACACTTGTTCATGGAATCCCGAATGCCTTCGGGTTTATCCGACAGAGAACGAAGGCGACCGATCTCTTGAATTAGTTATTACGATTAACTTTCCCGCCATTTAAGTACTTCTATAACCTTAAACATGTTCAGTTATATTAATGTTATTTAAGGTATTGACTTAAATTCGAAATTTAGACTACACATTATGAAATCTGAATCGAACATGTACATATATTATATATCTGTGAAAAAGGAATATTAATAGATAAAAACATTTAATTATTATATCTCTGAATGATATTTCACAATATTTTTCTTATTTATGATTTCTATTATTCATTATCTCGGAATTATCAGATATTCTTCGTCAGTTCTTTTCTCAATACATTAATTCCTTTCTCGAAAATAAACACGATTTTTTTATTTTACGAATGACTACAATAATCGCCATTCAGATTATTTATTATCTAAAGGATGAAAAACTCTTCTATACAATTTATAAAAGATAATATACAACAGTATATGCGTATTTTTTATAGCCACTACATGTAAGCACGTGTCAATAAAAATTTTATTTCTAAAAGCATTTTTTTTTTTTTACAGGCCTTGAAGGAAGGACTCAAACATTATTTTATATATGTTTTCTTTTTCTTTCACAGTAATGCCCGTTATAATGCAAATTAATAATTAACTAATTAGTAAATACATTTTTAATAAGGAAGTTCCACTAAGGAAATACGTTTTTTATTTGTTCAAAAATGCATGAAAAAGGATGAAAAGGTACAATAGCTGACGTCATAAAAGACGACAACATTCGGCTGTTTTCGGGATTCCATGAACAAGTGTGATCGAAGTGATTGTGAACCATGCGTAATCCGTGCGGAACTGTTATGAACTAGTACCAGAGGATGTTTACAGACATGTGACAGCTGAAGATCAAAACAAACAACATTCAAGAGCCTTCCAGCAGTGAATCCTGCATTGAATCTCAGGGAGAGTATTATGAAGGGAAGGATATTGACATATTTTAAGCACTAAGTTACAATATACACTGAATAAACACTATTAATAAGAAATAAACCTATGTTTATTACCTGCTCGTAAAGATCTATCAGTTTACTATCTGGAAGCTTGAGGGATTGAATAGCTTTTAAAACTGTATCCCAATGTCCGTTGTTAATGTCGGAAACAAATCCATCAATACTGTCCACAGTATTTAAGGAAACACCAGTCTCTTCCTAAAAATCACACAACCGCTTAACACAAATTGGAATTGGAATTGTAATCATAGCACACGTTGAAATTTAGGAGAAATTATAAGGTTTATTATAAACTAATTACCTGTAATGTTTGTAAGGTTTTGAATAAGTTTGCTTCCTTCAGATACTGTTGTATCAGGCGAACAACACTAAAAAAATCATTAGTTTCAATATAAAAGTTGAGAACATTTCATAATAAAGATGATATAAAAGAGAACTCACTCAGCAGATTCAATTTCAATAGACATCACTACAGAAAATCTAATAAATGCTTCGAAAATAAATAAAATTTGTACTCAAGTCCAACCCAATCAAATAAAATAAAATGAAATATATCTTTTGTTAGATGCAAACATGAACTAAACTTAGAGAAGACAACATCAGACACCGATAACGCTTAATGAAACCTCAACATGCTGGTGTTGTTTCCCCCTCCTTGATCAGTTCTGAACTGTTTTCGCATGCGCAGTACAGGTTTGGTGGCCTACCAAGTACCTAGTACGAGGTCACCAAACCTGTACTGCGCATGCGAAAACAGTTCAGAACTGATTTTGGAACAGACCCAATGTCTGTTGAAATTGAATCTTCCAACAGAAAATTCTAGAGTACCATTCAATTGTATTTCTGTTTTAATCGTAAATTATTTATTTAATAATACATTTAATAAATGCTTGTTTTTTTTTTCAAATACACCATTTAAGTAATTGAATTTTCATTTTACATTTATCTACTGATTGGTATTGCGCCTGTTCAATCCCAAATACTGGGCGTAAAGGCACTGTCAGCCATTTTAGTACGTTTTTGTGATAATTCGTCGTGTAACGAGTTATTTTTCTTCATTTATTAAAGTGATTGGAGAACGTAACAGAATCTTCTGATTTCATATTGATTTAGTCCATCCTTATTGAGCTTTACTTTCGGTGCCCTTTCGCCACAATAATCATTTTGATAATTTTTTAAGTTGCATCTACTATGGGCACTCGCGATGACGAATATGATTACTTGTTTAAAGGTGAGTGATATGAACTTAATGTTTCTTTTGTTTTGTTGATTATTATTCCTGAAGTTTTGATGGTTTGTATATTGTTTGATAGTTAGTTATGGTTAGGTTTTATATTGATAATAGTTGTTTCTCAAAATCTTGTTTTTTGTTCTTATTAGTGTTATACTGATTAAATGATAGATTTTGTTCCTTATCACTAATGCAGTATTTGATAGTATGCTGTATTTGATAATAAATCCTAATAAGTTGGTTTGTTTAGTATTTATTTTGTTTGACAATATACAACAATTATGAATTGATCTTGTTAAACATTTTATCTTCTGTTAAAGAATATATTACCAAATTAGAATGATCAATTGATCTCATATTTGCCTGTTAGGTAGGTCATTAATTTCCACTTGACCTGAGGTGACTGAATTGTTTCTTATGAAGCTTAAGTTGACATATTTGATTAAATTGATTTTAATTGAATGATTATAGATTTGTATAATTGTTTATTAATTAATATTATATATTAGTGGAGCAGTATGAATCAACATTTTATTTATTTAATGTTGTCATTGTTACACTTCATCTGCCAACATTGTCCATTATATATTGAATGGTTTAGTTTTAATTTAGTCTTAGAGAGTGTTTTAATTTGATAATTGCTCTGTTAACATTTAATTTTCTTTTTTAGTGGTTCTAATCGGAGACTCAGGAGTTGGTAAGAGTAATTTACTTTCAAGATTTACAAGAAACGAATTTAACTTGGAATCTAAATCGACTATTGGGGTCGAATTTGCTACCAGAAGTATAGTTGTGCGTATATTCTTAATTCTTTTGTAGATATATTGAACAAATTAAAAGATATCATTTAGCAGGTGAATAGTATTTTCAAGTAAATGTGTATAGATTATATACCTGTTGATGTGCATTCTTAATTTTTTGTTCTTGAAAAATGGGATAAAATCATAATTTAGAATATGTATACCTTTTATACTTTAAATATATATGTGAACAACTTTTAGCATATTAAGTCAGTAATTAGAGATAGGCGAATGCTACTCTGAGTACTGAGTGCCAAGTATTTTAAGAGTATTATGAGAGATTCATACGTACTTAAAAACATGAAACACTAGGTATTTCACAAAGTAAATCATTGAATCATATTACAAAAGAAAAAAAAAAATAATTTAACTTTAAATTAATTTTATTTGGCTTTTTTTTTCATAGAAGTTTAAAGTTTAAGTTTTTTTATGATAGTACTCGTTTATTAGAATGTCATCGACTAAGTCTGATTTTCTGCTGAGTGTTATGTAGCACTATTAATTATACAGTTCTATAATCAATATATAATCAACTATAAACCTATTTATATCAACTATAAATCAAACCATACCTATTTTATAATAGAATTTGAATTTACGCAATTGTCAATTAGGATATAGTGACCATTTTTTCATTAGGTTAGTCTGATGAGGGAACGGACAAAGAAGAAGTATTGAAATCGAATGGCTTTAGAATGGTTTTAATATCCTACTTTGCAAAATTTATCTGTAGAAGATAAGTGTTGTTAGATACTGTTTTCCATCTAGAAACAATTTAAACATTTTTTTTTGTTTTTTAATGAGTAATAGAGTTTAATAATCTTTAAAAAGCTCTTTTTTAATATTAAATGTTTTAAAATAATTCTGATATCAAGGACTATATCAAGCAATCAAATTAAAAAAAAAAAAAAATGTGCATTTTTAAAGTTTTTTGTTGTAAGATGTTAGGTTGAATAAAGTAATTTTATTTTTAACTAAGTTTTCTCGTTTATTATTATTATTATTTTGTCTCACCATGGACTGAATTCAATATAAAAAAATAAGTTATATTTATAAGTGTTTTCATAAATTTAAGCAACCAAATTATTAAATTTTTAAATGTAACTATTATTGCCTTACCAACGACATTTTGATTATGATAATGACAGGTTTTTGGCTGTGGTAATGATGTTTTCTCATTCCAAGCTATATGTATATATATATATATATATATATATATATATATATATATATATATATATATATATATATATATATATATATAATTTTTTTTTTAACTATAAGAAATCTCTAAACTGATATAGAGTCATAAGGCATTGTTAACTTACAAAATATAATACTAAAAAGTAAATTTAGTAAATAAAGCTTCTAATTACTGCAAAGTTACAACAAATCAAAATGTATGAATTTGTTTTGTCATTTTTCTCTTTCTATTACTGCAGGAAATTCAGTTATCAAGGTTTTGTGAGTTTTCAGTCTCATCCACATTGTTGCTGATTTTTCTTGCTTGTTGTTTAATCAATTTTTTCTTTTTAACTTATTTCTTTCCAGTTGCCATTTCGGCTATGGTAATGAACTGTAATTACTGACTAATACAGAACATATATGTTTTTAGCTTAGTGGATAAAAACTATTGAATATATAAAAAAAACTAATAATAATTGTTTATTTATTACAAGAAAGTTAAAAGTTGGCTGCCCATTGATTAGAAATTAATGATATGATAATCTGGATAGTTAACAGTAAGGTCTTTTTTATACGTTAATGTCCAAAATTATTAAATGAAGCCTTCAGAAAGCGTTATGTTCCCATCTAACATGATAATGGCCTATAATCTTAAAATTAACTTTTAATATCCTATCAGAATAAATAATACACTGAAACAGCACTAATCTTTTAATTGGTTTATTTGAAATTGAAAGTTATTTATTTATCATTTTATTATAAAAAGAATATAGTAAATGCAATGTGATATATATCACTACTGTTAGTGCAAAAAGTTTTTTGTCAAAATTGAGTTTTTTTCAGAAGAGCGTTATAACTGATTAATTTATGATTTATTAGTATAATTTCATATTTTATTTCCCTCAGCTATTTTCTGTAGTAACTAACTACTAATTGCAGTTAATGACAACAAAATGTCACCTTTAGTACAAATAGAATAAACATGAAAAATGATTACACACAACCTTTTGCATTAACAGTAGTGATATGTAAATAGTAAAACAGCTTGCTTTGGTTACCTTATCACTGAGGTCCTTAGCAACCAGTAATAAGATTATAATAGCAAGGTCTTGAAGAGGTTATCTTGACTGTTGCATATGACACTTTCTAAAGAGTATCATTTTGATACCAAAAAAAATATTGAAATAGGTATATACTGTATTTGTCTCGAATATCGGCAGAAGATTTTTCTGAAGTATATGTCGGTTTATGTTCTGATCCGGTTTAAAATTTGAGTTCCACCGTACTCTGCGCTTTAAAGTCACTTATTATTGAACATTTTATGAAGATAAAGCGCAAAAATACAAAAATAGTTCTAACTATGGTTGGAGATGATACATGTGTTTAATATTTAACCAACTTTAATCGGAACTTAAAAATCGACTTGAGCCTTACTAACTTCTATTTTTAATTTAATTTAAACTATTCTACTATTCGAAAAATAATTCAAATAAAAGCATTGCATTGCAATAAAAATGAATATATTAATATAATTTTCACAATTAATACTAATCAGCCATTTTCTTTAAAAGTTTAAAGTTTAAAAACACAATTATAGTATCTATTTTTTGTTTTAAAGCTTGATCATAGTAGTATTTTAAAGATATAATGATGTTATCTAACCATTTTGTTCCAAATTTAAGCGTGTCCGATTCTATCTGAGGAGCTATGCATATTATATTCAGAATATAATTTGTTATTTTTTCTTTCCCATATTGTTTTCTTAAAAATTATTTTCAAGATGCTGAGTTTGATTTGACCTGTATTCAAACTAAAAGGCTACTAAAAAGAAGTAAGAATGAAGATTTATAAACTTTAATAAAGTAATTAAAAGATGAAAACATGATATACATAAACAAAAACTTAGAATTAGTGGAATATCATATTAAATAAAAGTTGTTGACGTATATTTTATATAACTACACATCAAACACCAGTATTTCATTAGAAAGAACAGATTTAAGCTTTTCTACTCAATCTTGGTGACACACAAGTTCAGAAATACAGTTCAAAAACATTGTATCTTTGTCTTGAAGATGTAAAAATTTAACAGAAAATCTAGTTCATAAAATAAAGAAATTATTAATTATTAATCCATTCTCTGGTGCTTTTACTAAAGAGATCAAAAGTTAGTTCTCAACACCAAAAATAAATTTAATTTTATGCTGCTAAATTATGATTTACTGAAATTACTTATACAATAAATACAAAGAATGCTTTCAATTTATTTTAACCACTTGTTTTATTATAATGTTGAATATTTTACCCCAATAATAATTCCGGAATCTGGGTTTTTAAAAATTCAAGATATTGATTTTGTTAAGAGATATGAGGATTTAGCATATCTGGATCTAAAGCAAGATATTTGGATCCTATAATCCCATATAAGTGTTTACAACATTTTTCCATTCTACGTTCAAATAAATCAACTATTTAATGTTAAAAGATATTCAGAAGATTCCAGATATAAAGCATTGGATCTCTAAAATACCGGAGAACAACCCGTCATCTCTTAAATATATCTCATTGAAGGCCTGTCGGCTGTCGTCAATATAAATTAGTGCAGGAAGAATTAGTAAAAGGCCTTCGTATAACTTCAATTTTTTATTTGTTTATATATTTCTTTTTTTATTTTAACATATGATTCCATATCTTTAAGATGCATATTCATCCTTAAACTTAAGGTTTAATTTATCTTTTTCTATAATTGTCATATTTTAGGTATTAGATAATATTAATGAATATGATATTCTTTCTTCATTTAATTATTTTGTAACTAAGATAAAACCAAAATTGTAAGAATAGATATGTATTTTAAAGATAATGAAGCAAATATTTATAAAAGATAGCTGCTTTTGAAAATTTTTTTCTTCTGTTGCCATTACAGACCTTGAAGATCATTTGCCGCCTTATTCAACCTTCTCCATCTCTGCCTATCTTAGGCTATTTTTTTTTTTTTTCCAGTTATCTGCATGCAACTTAGTTGAATCTATCTATCCATCGTGTTTTTTTCCTTCCATGTGGTCTTTTGCCTTCTATTGAGGCATTCATTGTTGTGTAGAGACTTCCAGATGGATTGCTCTAAGCTACATGCCATGCCCATATTAATCTCCTTGCCTTCATTTTATGTGATATTGGTTGACCAGTTTCTGTAAGCAGTTCTTTATTGTTCCTTTTCCTCTGCACGTTAGTGTTCCGATTCCAGATCTCTCTTGTTATCATGCAGAGAATTTTTTTCTTAAATCTTTCATTATTTCTTTCTAGGGTGCTGGTTAGGATGCAGGTCTCACAGCCTAATATGAGGACTGGTCATGGAAGTAATATCAAGGCCTTTCTCTAATACTTCCTACACCAATTTACATTGATAACCAGTCATCTTTTTTTTCTATTATGGCAGAATAGAGAAACCAAGCAATAAGTCTCTTATCAACCAGAGAGAATACAGCGCTCAATCCAACTAAGCTTATACATTTTGCTCCTTTTTAGTGAATACGTTTTTAAATTACACGAATATTAACTGTTAGATAAATCTTCAGGTTTTAGTCTCCTCTCACAAGTAATTCATTCCTCATCCCCCCTCCCTGCCTTCATAGTGTCTGGAGTTCCTTTAGTGACCAATTCTTATCATGTAATAAATAAAAAAAAAACCATAAATCACTGCAACCCATGAAGGTTCTTGGATTCAGTACTGGTTCAAGACCAACAGTTGTGCAAGGAAATGATCGGACTGAGATCATGTTCAATCGCCAGGTTTTTCCCTTAAATTAATTATTTAATTAAGAATACCCCCCCAAGAGAGTCTCCTGATCTCAGGATCAATTTACAGCAGATGCAACAGAATAAATAATTATCTCCCACAGCCAATCCTGATGCTGGTACCTTTTGAGTATAGGAAAGAAGTCAGTGCCTTACCCACTGACCACTGAGCTAACTCACTCCCTTATTATTTAATTACCAATAATATTATTTTAATTTAAATAATTGATTATTAATCATATTTAAATTATTTTAGGTCGATGGAAAGACTATTAAAGCCCAAATATGGGATACCGCTGGCCAGGAAAGATATAGAGCTATAACATCAGCGTACGTTTATGCTTTATTGAAGTATTTGTTTTTTTTTTGTTTTTTTTTATGATTATTATCATATGTTAATGTTTTCCTAAATTATTTTACAGATACTACCGTGGAGCAGTCGGTGCATTGTTGGTTTATGATATAGCAAAGCATCTTACGTACGAGAATGTGGAGCGGTGGTTAAGAGAACTGAGGGACCATGCTGATCAGAACATCGTCATCATGCTCGTCGGTAATAAATCAGATCTGAGGCATTTGCGGGCTGTTCCGACGGAGGAGGCCAAGAACTTTGCTGAAAGGAATGCTCTCTCATTCATTGAGACTTCTGCTCTTGATTCTACCAACGTGGAAACTGCTTTTCAAAATATATTAACCGGTAAGTTTGCATGTAACTCTGTCCATTTGTTGCCTACTTCTTTACTTAAATATAGTATTGGTATTTTAACCTGTTATAAAAATTTTGTCAAAATTTAATGACAATGTTATTACTCTTCAGTTATTAAGAAAATGTAATGATTTATTTTAATAATTTGTTGTTTAATCTATTTACAATAATAATGATTGACTTTTTGTCGTTTTACTGATCCTTGTACTACTTAGTAACTCATTAATTATTTAACGTTCAATTTATCTATTCAAGATTTTTTTAATATTTGATCCGACAGTCATGTATTATTGAAGAAAGTCAGTCATCTATTCTATATATCGCAGGAAATAAATAATCAGGAAGCACGTCGTTTTAAGATTTTTTATTGCTGCCGACGTTTCAACCCTAACATGTGGGTCATTGTCAGGGCATGTTTAGATTGAAATATTGGCAAAAATTAATATTTATCAAGAAAAATGTCTCTTTTTTTTTTTTTAATTGTTATTATTAGTTTAGTTTAATTTTAATATTTATTTTTTAAAATAATCTTTTGCCACCTATATTGGCTCACTAACTTAAAAAGAATATAGAATATTATGAATTTTTTACCACGGTTTAAATTGATGAATTCTCATAATTATTAGACTATAAATTAATAATAGAATTTCAAGTTTTAATATAAAAGAGTAATTTGAAGAATGTAAATTATTTTAAAACATTAACAGTTTTATTAATAAATTTATCTCAATATTCTTGGTTAGGACTTCACTTTATGAATGTAGAGTTAAAATAAACTAGGACTTTTTGGATCTAATGTATGTTTTTATTATTAACAATTTTATTTTTTTCATTGCTTGACAGCCAATAAATCATGGATAGAACACTGCCAAAAAGTTTGGATAATTATCATTACGAAGAAAAGATGAAAAAAAAAAGTTGATTTGGTCGATTACTTTAATATATTGTCAATATTTAAAATGAGGAAATTCATTTTAATCAGATTTAAAATCATCGTGAAAATGTTTCATAATCTTATTCATTCTATCATGATTATCAAATGATTCCTTATCTTATTTTCCTCTCATCTTCAACAATGTAATAGATTTTTGAGTATTGCATTTTTTAGTAAAATCGGAAATGTAATTTCATTATTTATTGTAAATATTTTGTATGATTTTAAGATTTGTAATTTATTATTTTTTAAAATTATTTTTCTTCTGTGTTCTTTTAAAATTACTCTAATAATCTTGCATATCCCACATTCTTTATCATTAAAAATAATACTTTAATAAGCTTCTACATAAAAGATATAATATAGTAGTGTTCTATATTGGTAGAATATAAAAAATATATACATATATGTATATGTGTAGACATTTTATTTATATTTAAAATGTTGATTTGTAGCAGTTGAAAATTTAAGTTTTGAAATAAACTAAATAATGTTTAGTTGTAGCATTCTAATTTTTTTTAAAATTCTTTTTACATGGAAGTGGTTGTTTTAATTTATGGTAGAATGCTCCTAAATTTTAAAATTAAATTTATTACTTATATAAAAATAAAATCATATAACGTTGAAATGATTCACATAAAAAGAAATAAAAACTCATTTAGATTTTAAAAAAGGATATGATTAATATGTCGTCATCCTTTATCTTATATTTTGAAATTAATTTGTTTTAAATAATTTTATGATAAAAAAAAATTGATTACCACAATGATGTCAATGATTGAACAACAAACAACAATGGTTGAAGTCAGGAATCCTGAATCAACTGCTGTCTTTTCGATTATTATTAACAGCTAGATTTATATATAGACTTGTGATTTATATGATTTTCTTTTATATTATAAATCATCAACCATTTTTAATGCGTTTTATCAATTTATTTCAGAAATTTACAGAATCGTTTCGCAGAAGCAAATTAGAGATCCTCCCGAAGGAGATGTAATCCGGCCACAAAATGTAGAAGCAATTGATGTTAAACCGACAGTTAATACCGAAAGTGTCAGAAAGCAGTGTTGTCAATAGAGGCAAGTTTTTCAATTGTTTTGAAATTATGAAAGTTTTGTATATTTTGGTATATGAACGTATATACTTCTTATTTGTTATATTTATCTATAAGAAAGTATTGTAATTTATTATTGCTATTATTATATAATATATTTATATAATAAGTTGATGTTATCAAAATGTGGTTATCACTTGTGCTTTCAATAACCCATAATTTGTATGAGTGACTGCTTTGTCTCATTTAATTCAAATAAAGAATTTAAATTATAACAACTTACAATAACTTATTATTACCACTCTGCAAACTTAATTAACACCGTTAGTTAGTGTGTATGAGGTGGTAAGTTATCATTAAAAGTTTTTAATTTTTAAAATTGAATCGTCTATTGCTTTTAGGCATTTTTTCAGTATGCCTATAATAAATTGGGTCGTTTCATATGAAATGTCAGTTTTCACTGAAATTTAATAAAACAATTTTATGAAATAAAAATATTCTTATCAAAAATATTTATCCTCATTGTCTATACATTTTCCCCAATGTGTTATCAACTTTTCAATCCCAGAATAGAAAAATTCATGATTTTATGAAGAAATTATGTAAAAAAAAAAAGGTTTTGACCTGAGAATCATTTTTAAAATTTTTACCTTTAAGGTAGTTGCTTAAATTTCTTAGTAGGAGGAAATCAGTTGCAGATATGTGGCGAATAAGGTGGATGTGGAAGGACTTTGTAACACGGCTCGTTTGGTTTTTTTGACTGTATTATCGTGAAACTTGAAGTCTGGCGTTGTTTAAGAGTATAGGCCCCTTCTGATTAACCAATGCAAGTTATTTTTAACAAGTTTTTAATGCGATATGTCAATATAACTGCAGTACGATGTGGATGTGATGGTTTCACTTCTGGCTAAAAATGAGAAATGAATTGTTCCTGCTGTTGACTACTATAAAGAAACAAATCATTTTTTAATGCAAATTTTTATTAATTTATCGGCGAATGGACTGTTCGTTACAACACATTTCCCTGAACGCCGTCTGTGCTGGTCAAATTACGAAAATACCACGAGTTTAATAGCTAATCTTTAAGAAATAAAGAAAAATAAAAAAAGATGGTTTTTATTATAACGTACATGTAACTTTATATATTTATATTTTTTAAATCAATGAATCAATTTTGGAATGGTAGACTCATTTTACTTAAAACTACATATAAAATACAAAATCATAATTCACATTTAGACTTTTTCTTGCTTTTTAGGCCCTGCCATGTTTTTAAAGAATTTTAAATTAAAAATCATTGTATAATTTGAAATTTGTTGGATTTAAAAAAATCAATAATTTCTGGCTGGATAAAATACTGATATTTCTTCTTCTTTATCTTCCTCTTCGTGCCATTACTAGCGTTGAGAAGCCTCAATCCAATGCAGCCATGCTTCTCGGTTCCTACTAAGCCGCCTCATTTCCTGGAGGGGTTTGCTTCTCTTCTCTTCAATCCGCTGCATATATTCCTGATAAGAAATTCTGGGGTCGCCCCTCGGCCTCCTCCCAGTGGGTCAAGCTTCCAGAATCTTCCGCGGATCTCTCTCTTCCTCCATCCGACAAACGTGGCCAAACCACTTCAACTATCGGTTTTCCAGTAAAGTCCTTAGCTCCGCCACCTCCAGGTCCTCTCTTATGCGTTCATTTCTGAAGCGGTCTCTCCTGGTCTTTCCAGCAGCTCTCCGCAGAAACTTCATCTCGGCTGCTGTCACACGGCTAACCTGCTTGTCCAGCATAATCCAGCTTTCGCTTCCATACTTGAGGGTTGGGAGGTATACCGACTTGTATATGTGCCTTTTTGTTTCCTTGCCAACTTCCCTGTGCCCTACTATAGTGTTGCTGATAGGGTAATATACCTAATTGGCTTTTGATATCCTATTCGCTACTTCTGGGTCAATCTTCTCCTTGTTGCTGATAATTGTACCCAAATAGGTGATTTCTTGCACAACTTCAAGTACCTGCCCGTTACAGATCAGCTGGACGTCTTCTTGTTCCTCTCTTGATATGACTAGGACTTTGCTTTTGGAGCTATTGATAATCATACCTTTGCGGAGGAGTTCTTCCTGCCATTCTACAAGGGCCTGCTGCAGCTTGTCTTTCGTGTCCGCAATCAGAACGATGTCATTGGCATATAGATATTTCAAATTTTAAAAATCGATTATAAAAAGTTGCCATTACATGTGCCGTCAATCGTGGAGTTGCAGTCTCGGTCCATCTAGCCTCTGTCCCTGGCTAGTCTTCTTGTGTCCAGGATGGTGTGTCCTCTTACTGCTCCCAGTTTTCCAATGTAATTCGAGTACATGCACCTGGATCTGCCACGAATGTATCTTCCTTCCAGTTTGTATTCCAAGTACCACTTGCTTTTTCTGGTATCATCCATTATATTGCTATTACAAAATAAAAATAAAACATTTTTCTTATACTGATGTATTGATAAGATCGATGTTTGAATTTCAATGTTTTTGGGCATCGTTATATTAATATTTTTTTCATCATAAGCCGTGTCCCGTAGGACTTAATGGTCTCAAATTGGCCTGCAAACTAAAACGTTTGGAGACCGAGACCCCTGCTCTATTGTGTTTCTATTATCACTTCTAAATTACTTGGTATATACTTTAATAACTGAAAATGAAGTGAGTTTGACCAACATTGTTGATAAGGTAAGTCTGCACTTTAATTAATTATTAATTTTTTCTTAACAAAATACAGAAGACTTTTGCTAATTCAAACTAGTTAAAACCAAGGTGGCTCGGATTAGCAAAAAATTCAGAGAAAAAGATCACTTTGTAAACAAGAAATCAATTTACCGATAATTAAATTAAATAAGAAACGTATTTACTTAAAAATATTTTTACAAGAATTTTTCATAGTTCAGAAATTTATCTTTTGACTATTTTCTTGCGAAATAATCAGAAATTTTCGTTTGTTTAGCTCTTGTCTTCATCTTTTTGAAGGCCTTTAATGGTATCTTCTAATAAAAATTATAGCTAAACTACCATTGTGTTAACAATACAGTTTCGCACTGAAGATTAATTTAATGAAAAGGTTAATTAATTAACTGCTGGTAATAAAGAAATTGAGAAAATAAATATGCTTTCTAATTTTAATTTTTACATAGCTTGGATTTTATTTTAAATAAGAAAAGTTGGTATTTTTATCTAGATTATTTAACCCACAGTACGTAGTACGTAAGGTGTTGATAATACTGTTTTATTGAATGGATGTATATATGTACTATAATAATAATAAGGAATATCGAACCCGAAGGTTAATACTACCAATCGATGTCTACATTCTTCCATCCACCAAACGCTGTCTAAACGCTTGGTAGTTGTCACGACCCTATTGATTTTTTAAGAATTCTTTTCTTACTAAGCCCAGCGATTTTACATGCCATGTTCATTAGCCTTAACTTAATCATCTCAATGATATTAACTAGATATAGTTAGTGCAGTTCAGCGTTGTGTGCGTGCAACCTAAATTCTCATGTTGGCTCATCCTTCTTCTGTCGGAATATTCTGCACAATACTTTATTTTCAAAAATATTAAGACGTTGCTCATCCCTTAATGTAAGCAGCCACGTTTCGCATACATAAAGAACCTTTATGTTCTTTATATACATTCTTAGATGTATATACTATTATACATAAAATCAAATCTTCATTATTTTTTTTTTTAAAGGGATGATTCGGATTAGCAAGAGCCCACTGTATTGAGTTGTATGATAATATTATTTGTAACAGTTTAATTTAAGCTATGTCAGTATTATTATCTGATATGTGATAATAGATTGTATTAAAACTTTGTAGATAATATAAAATAGTTATAAGTAAATGGTTTTTGTTTTATGTTTAAGATACATGAATATATTTAATGCATGTTCACTGGTGAAAGTTATACATATTTCTACAAGGATTATTATTAGAAACAAAATGAGCAAATTTTTATGGAAAAAAAATGTTGACCGCAGCCATTTGCATCCTGTTGTCGCAATTAGTTGAAAAGAATCTAATACCCTTTGAAAATGTTTTATCATATTAATCAGGACTAAGGCTTGAAAATTAATTGAATTATCACATGTTTTAGTTAGGAGAAGTTGGTTGGGGTGCAAAAATGAAAGTACACACAAAAAGGCTTTATTTTCTTGTGTGCTGACATTTCGGCATAAGATTTAGCTAGACCTTCATCAGGGCTAATTAAAGACAAGATACGAACGAACAATAAGAAAAGTTAAAGAAAAACATAATCAAAAGAAAAAATGATGATAAATATGTATGCGTAAATAATGAAAAAATATATTTTTTTTATTAAAAATTAAAATGTGAACTAAAATATACTTTATGTAAGATTTAAATATGATAAATTAAAATATAGAAGTACTATTTATAATGTTAATATGTGTGAAATATTATGTATCTGCTGTGTATATTAAAGAAAATGTATTATAAAACAATAATGGACACTGTTAACAATATTATAAGAAACTTTAAAATAATAGTAACAAATTAATGAAATAAAATATTAAATAAAATTAATCAGATGTGGTGATAACTGTAAGTTGATAAGTCCATATGGTCTCCATGGTAATGGAAACAACCAGATTATATAGAGAAAAAGCGAAAAAGAAGACAAATCAGGTTCTTTTACTTGAATGCGTAAAGATCAATGACATTAAGAAGCAATGGAGACACATACATTATATTATATTTTATACTCATAGATATTATTTAAGAAGAACAGATACATGTAGACCTTCTGAAAAAGAAAACTTTCGCAAATTTTTGCATGATAACAAGCCAAGATTAACTTATAAAATATCTGCATACAGTATGAGTGGCATAATTCACTCTGCAATCTACAATTTTCTGTGGCAACTAAGAATAAAGCGCATTTATGTGTATTCTTTCGCTTATTGAACATAAGAGATATGAAACTACAAATCAAAGCTTATAAAGAGAGAGAAAAAAAAAATATGGAACCATCGAATCAAAGCTGTCCAATCGAAACGATTGTGGAATTTTAAATCTGTAATACCAAAAGCCCATAAAAAGTGAGCTATAACAAAAATAAATAAAAAATATAGAACAATTTGTAAAAGCCATTGTAATGCCAATAAAAGCAGTTATTCATGTCTGAAAAGTGGAGATTGAAAATTAGTTTTAATAATACAGAGCACCTTGGCACTTCTACAGATAACATACCGATTACGAGTTAAAACAGTGGATATGTTCAAATATATGGGTTCAGTATTC